CCGTGTTTCTTGTCATGGTTTTCATATCAGCCCACAGCGCAGCAGAGCAAGCAAATGGGCTGGGACTTTCGTCAAGCACTTGGTGTGCACACAAGGGGTCGTTCAGCAGCTGTCCAAGGGGTCGTTCATGGAATCCACAACCAATTTTCCAGCATTCTAAGGCGTCGTGCGACCCCTCTTGTCCCAATGTGCATCCGCCCCTGCATATACCTTCATATACTACGTGGAGATCTTCTCTTCTGAGACTAGGGAATGGAGAGCGTCATATATTTCGTTCCCCAAGAAATTAGATTTCCATAGTGCCAATCCCAGCATTGGCTTTGCACACAAGGGAATGTTGTTTTAGGTGGGTCCAGACAAAGTTCTTGCCTTTCTTATTGGGTTCGATCCGTTCAACACGAAGAAAAATGATGGAACAATTGATAAAAATGTTTCATTGAATTTGACCAGCCGACAATTGAAGGCCTAGGTGATGTGTCAGAAATTGAGTGCCTAGGTGTGTGTCAAGGCTGTCTGCGGATGTTCAACTTCGAATTGAGGACAGGTACTGTCTTAGTTTGGGATTTCAAATTAGTAGAACCGGCTGATCAGATGGTCAATGGAGGCAATTGTTTGATTTTGAAACACGGGGTCCCCATGGACCCAGAAATACTACTTTCGAATGCGGTAATTTTCTCTCATAACGAATTAGACATGCATTGGACTAAGGTATGTGCTTTGGACCCAAATAATGAGGATATTTCATGTGCAATATTCTTACAAAAAGTTGGTTAGTGACAGCAGAAAAAGATCGGCACCAAAGTATTGTTGCTCCCTTCCTACCATTGATTTTCCACCCTCAATGGCCAACCCCAGTTCCAAGGACTTGCCCCGTCAGAGGAGAGGTAATTGGTATTCGCTGCAAATAAATTGCTTGTTGATGTTGCTTGAGGTCTTAGTATAAGTATAGTGTTTATGTGCCAAAATGTTTACTCAAGAGAGACTGAAAATTGAGGTTTTAGAAGTTTGAAGACGTATGTTTAGAGTCTAGAACTTTGCACCAAAATATTTAATCAAGAGAGATTGAAACTTGACTTGTACAAGGTATTAAATATCGATAATATCGTTTTTTTGAGGTGGAGATATTTTAACACATATCCACTTAATTATCGTCAATATATCGATATTTTTGTCGATATTATCGTGATAATATTGGAGACGATAATTTCCTTTACGTTCATGTAATATTTGGGCAATATATCGCGATATTATCGATAATATCGCGATGTAAACCGCATACCTTGAATAAACCTGAGGCAAGCAAACACAAGTTGACGAAGATTTTACAAGAACCTGTAGAAGAGAGATTGTGATCAGTTTACCGAATTAGAATGAACAGACAGCGAATCTAGAGCTCCAATTGGATTCCGAGAGAAAGACAAGAAGAGAAAATGAAAATCGAGCCCTAATTCTTCATTTTCTTTTCTTTTCCTTGGGTTTCTCGGCCACCAAACATATTTAATAGTGTCAAGGCTTACAGAGAGCGAGAGAGAGAAACTGTGAGACTGATGTAGAAGAAAGAACATAGGAAGAAGAGAGAAAGAAAAAGGAAGAGAGGAAGAAGAATAGAGAGAGAGAGAGAGAGAGAGAGAGAGAGAGAGAGAGAAGAAATAGAATAAAAAAGGGGAGAGGAGGAAATAGAATAAAGAAAAGGATGTGTGTGTTGGGATGCGTTATGTGTTTTTATTTTATTTTTACTTCAATTCCTTCTAAATATTTCCTAGTACATGTGTAGCTTTCCTTTGTTTCCCTCAAGGAATGAAATATCGATATTATCGCCGAAATATCGGCGATAATATCGTTATTTGTGGCTGCCGATATTTTCCTTGCATACTAGTTATGTTTCGTCATTTTATCAAAATTATCGTCGATAATATCGGCCAAATTTTGAGATGGATATTTTCGTGCAAATTCAAGCTGAAAATGGTCAAAATATCGCGATATTATCAATAATATCGATAATGTTGCGATATTTTGACCCAAAAACATGAAAAATGCTGAAAATTCTCCTTCTTGTGCATGGAGGCAGTGGCGGGTCCACCATGGGGTTTAGAGGTCTCTTGTTGGCCTTGGCAGATCTGGAAATGGCTCAGACGACCCCATGGCAGATCTGGAAATGGCTTGGAGGTCCCTTGTTGGCCTTGGCAGCCATGGGAGACGACCCCATGGAGAAAAAGATGCAAGTTGCGAGGGAGAAGAAAAATGGAGGAAGAAGAGAGAGAGAGAGGGAGGAAGAAGAAGAAGACAGTGATTGAGAGGGAGAAGAAAGAGAGAGGAAGAAGAAGACTGTGATTGAGAGGGAGAAAAAAGAAAGCACTGCGCAAGCGCAAACACAAATTTTTTTATAAAAAAGGAATTGATGTTAGGGTTTTTAAAAATATTTTTACAATTATGTTGGTTAGACCTATAAATACTAAAAGTATACATAAATAATGTAAAGCTATCACTTACCATAGTGGCCTCTGAATTGAAAAGAAGTTTTTGGTCAAGGGTTCAACACCCATTGTGCTCTTTTTGTTGTGATATTCCAGATATTTTATTATTTGAGTTATTTTTTGGTGTGTGTATTTATTATTTGGGTTGGTGTTATTATTTCGATTAAATTTATGGTTTACATAATGGGCTCAATTTATTGAATGATGTTTTCGTTAATTGGAATAAGTTTGGCGTGTTTTTTTAATTTTTAGCATTGTTTTTATCCTTTAAAAAAATTCAGAATTTTAACACTAGTATTATGACCCCATGGGGTAACAATCCTGCATCCGCCACTGTGTTCAAGGTTTGTCTAATGCTTTAACTTTATTCTTTCATCAATGGCTTTTACGGAGACCACATAAGTAGAAAGTTTTGGTGTGTGCTCATTTCAAGGATCAGTTCTCAGAGGACAGATGGTGGGAATCTTTTGTAAAGTTCTCTAACTCGGTTCTGATTTCCTTGTTACAGAACCTCTGCTACGGATGGGGTGCAAAATTGACTCCACAAGAGGTGGCTGACAAAGTGAAGCACTTTTTCAAGTACTACTCCATTAGTCGACAGAAAATGACCGTATTAACACTTTCGTATCACACCGAGGTATGAATATAATGACCTTAAGAAACTGTGAAGCTTCTTTCTGTATCTCATTTTGTTTAACTTCATGCAGAGTTATTTGCCTGAGGATAATTGGTTCGACCTTCGCCAGTTTTTATATAATGCTAGATGGCCATTCCAGTTCCAAAAGATTGATGAACTTGTGCATGAGTTAGATGATGACAGGGTTCATTTGGGAGAATCAAGTGCGCTAGACAAGTTGGGTGATGCTTCACATGGTGGAGGTGGGATGGGGGTTGTGGCAGCAGGCTCAGGCAATCCAAATGTTGGACTCTAGGGTTTTCTGTCTTTCTTTCATTTTATTTTTTTCCCCTTTGTCTTTGAAAGAAACAGATAAGCTATTGATCACAAGGATGCCTTTTCTTTCAAATGTACATGCTCTTCCGTGAAGGGATCACTTGTTATTTTTCTCTACAAATTACAATACAATGGGTCTGGTGACTGGTGTGTACATATATAAATGTTATTACGTACGGTGCTAAAAGAGAAGAGACCTCTACCCATGTGTAGATATATGATTCTATAGGTACATGTTAATGGATATCTTTTACTTCTTGTACCCTTACAGAAAAGGAAATATTTTGTGGAACGATAGTTATGTTCATGGACACGTATCAAGTGTTGAGCATTGTGATGATGATGGAATCAAGGGAATATAATCACATCCTAAAGTCAAAGTAAATCATATATTAACAGCTAGCAAGTAAGGGAAAGAATCCTGGGATATTCAAGCTGATGGGGATGAAGTCCACATGAGCTTGGACCAAAAGGAAGAGAAAATTGGAGTTAAGAGCCCTATGATAAATATATCTGCAAGCTGATTGGAAGAATTAACAAAATGAATTGACAAGAAACCTTTGGAAACTAATTCGTGGATGAAGTGATAAGAAACCTCAATATGCTTTGTTCTTGCATGAAAAAGGGGATTCGCAGCTAATTGAGTGCCCGCCTATATTGTCGGGATATAAAAATAGGAAATATAATAATAAATTGTTATAAAATAGACAGAGTATGAAAGTACCACTGAATATTAGGGTGGAATTGTATTTGCTCTTGTGGTTTTACACTGATAGAATTTTCTCTCTCAGATAAAACTTTTTAACTCTCAAATTTCTCTCTCTATTTTCATTTCGGATTGGTATGGTATGTATCAAAGCCTGCATATTGCCTCTATTTATAGGCAGATGATATATGCTTCCCAACCATGGCATTCACTCTACAACATTAACCCATAATTGCTTCTTACTATTTGTGAATAGTGACTAAAGCCTATAAGTCTTCAACTTTCACTCAACGTTGCTCCTCATTTACAACATAAATTATTTTTTTTAACCTTACCTAAAAAGAACTATGCCTAAATCTCTCCAACCTGAGTATATTGAGCTTAGTTTTGTGTAATTGCCCTATTGCGATTCGTGTTCTAAGTAATAAAATTTCTTCTTAAAAAAACAAGACATTATCCCAATGGTTCACATTCAGATCATTATCATCAATCTAGCTCAAATCCAACATCTCAAATAATGATTATCCACACGATTTACGACAAAGTTTCTCCTTACCAAGGAAGTGGAGAAAAAAGTGATTAAAGCTAATGAGAAATTGTGCACACTCGACTCGAGTAGCCCCAATTGTCAATTATTATGACCGTTAGCCGCACACTTCCGCTGCCTCACCAGTGCATCACAACGTGAACATCTCATAGCCTCCATGTCAGACACGTGTCCTTCGACTACTTTGTGCGCGCATAATAACCACGTGGCGTACAACTATATGCTATGATCTTCTCTTATCCCGTTCCTAGCCGCACAGGATCTCTTCCAACGTTTTCGAATTTTAAAATGGCAAAAAAAAACTTTGTAGCCGTTGAAGTTGGAAAGTGCTGTGTCTGTAAGCACCAAAGGTCAAGGTGGAGAAGAAGCAGCTTAGCTCACACAGCTTCTTCACTGTCATCTCTCAATCTCTCTAACCTCTCTTCAAACTTCAAAAATAATCCATTTCTGGCTTGAAGCATCCTTTTCCTGGTTCAGATTTTGGAAGCTTTGCTGGGCAACAATGAAGGGAGTGAAAGGAAAGTTCCTGAAGAAGTTGAAGTCAATCCGGCCTGTTGGGTATTTGAAGCCACAAGATCGAATTCTTCAGGTAAGTGCGTCAGATGGGTATGTAGTTTCTTATGCCAAGAGCTCAGATCTCAACGTTTTGACCGAGCAAGAGCCTGATGTTATTGACGTCACTGAGCTTATGAAAGACCTTGAAGATGAAGAATCAGGGCCTGAGGATGATTTGGACGACAAGGAAAACATCCGGCCAAAAATGAAGGCAAAAAACTCAATGGCATTCAAGGAAAATTTGATGGTAACAGAGCACAATTTGGGGGAAAACAGAGCTCTTGAAGCTTCAGAAGAATCGTTGCCCGGGCCGGATCGTGGTAGACAAATCCCTTTGTCGGAGATTGATATCTCATCTTTTCGCAGACCGGACTTAGACTCCGGTAGCCTCTTTGACCCGAACCTACTCGCAGCCTTTCAGCAAGCCGTGATGGAATATATGAAGTCGAGTGAAGCAGAGAGAATATCAAGAAGAAGTGAAAAACAGAATCTTGAATCCAATGTAGTTGAGCCAGAGCCGGAGCCGCCTTCAAATGAAGAACCTCTATTACGCTTCGAGGAGAAGTGTGTGCCTGGGAGTTCGGATTCATCAGTAATTCTGTACACAACAACCCTTCGAGGTATTCGAAAGACCTTCGACGACTGCAACAGCGTTCGGTTTCTTTTAGAGAGCTTTCGGGTGGTGTTTTACGAGCGGGATGTGTCTATGCACATGGAATTCAGAGAAGAGCTGTGGCAAGTTTTGGACTGCAAAGCAGTGCCTCCTAAGCTTTTCATAAAGGGGAGATATATTGGGGGAGCAGAGGAGGTTTTGACGCTTCATGAGCAAGGAAAGCTTAAGCCACTCTTCCATGGAGTCCCGATCGATCGGTCTATTGGCCCGTGCGAAGCTTGTGATGGAGTTCGATTTGTGGTTTGTTTTAAATGCAGTGGCAGCTGCAAAGTGATTGGCCAAGAGGGCCAGTCAGACAAGTGCTCGGTGTGCAATGAAAATGGGTTGATTATATGTCCCTTGTGTTGCTAACTTGCTGAAGAAAGAAGCTTGTTTCTGTGATTCTTGTTGTGGCGCCTTGTACTGAGTATCTTAATATTTTGATTCTTTTTAGAACATTATGTATCATATTCTTTGGATTCTTTTTAGAAATTTATGTATCATATTCTTTTGATTCTTTTTTGTGCTGGTTTGGAGAATAAATGAAGTGTCTGGCAAGGGATTTGTGGATTTGTAGCTCAAGTGGTTGACAGCATTCACCCGAGCACCCGATTTCCACTATTCGATTCTCACATCCCCAATGTGGCAGCATATGTAAACTGGTTTGTAGATTGAAATCAGCCTTGTCCACATTTACTATGTAAACTTTCATGGATATACAATAAATTGAGCTTATGGGGAGTTTTCTGTTGCATTATGAAGTAATGAAAAGTGGGGATCTGAATCATTCAGTCTTTTTTTTGTTTTTTGTTTTTATAACATGAATCATTCTGTCTTTTATCCAACACAAATTGGATCAAGGAACAAAATTCTGTTATATAATTTCTAGTTCCACGGTTTCTACAAAAGTTATTTCTGTTTTCAAAATGAACTAAAAACAGACAAAGGCTAACATTATAACTCTTTTTTCTCGAACAGGCTAAAATTGTCGGATTAGAGGGTAAATTTTTTTTTTTTTTTTCCGAAATACAAAGACAATTACAACAAAGATCCACGACGTATCTTACCACCATACAAATCGCATTAGAGGGTAATTGATATGTGAAACAAGTGCATGATTAATTAAACAGAACAGAAAAAAAAACACACACACACACACACTCACAACAACCAAACTGTCTTCTTACGTCAAAAGAAAAGGGAACAAAAATTATCTGTTGGTCAAATCAGTTTCTATAATGTGGTTTAGTAACAAAGCTGATAGAAAGGGCATTGCCAGTTGTCTGCAAAGGTGATAGAAGAAGCTTTCTCCATGCATATATACTGATTGAGAAGTTCTTCCAGGGTCATCTGCTTAACTAGTTTCTTAATTAATTTCAGAGTGAGTTAATTTTGATTCATTAATCATAGATTATTATTAGAGTTAAGGAAATGGGAAGAGGGACAGCAGAAACTAAAGCAGCAGATGAGGCGGTGGCATTGGCAATAGACAAGGACAAAGGAAGCCAGCATGCTATCAAATGGGCTGTTGATCATCTTCTCACTAAGGGCCAACATCTCACCCTCCTCCATGTCAAACATACCCTTCCCAATCATGGTAAATCTCTCTCTCTCTCTCTCTCTCTCTCATGCATGATCATGAGGGTGATCTTCATGTTATTAGTGTACATAGTCATAGGCCTTGACCATATTTCTGACATGGATGAAATTCTTGCACAACTCATCCACGTATTTGGCTCTCACCTTTCCGAAGAAAGATATAGTCATCAAATATGATACATGTAGCGTTACTCATTGTTCCATTACATGAAACACATAAAATAATTGCATATTCTTACAAACAAAAAGAAATTTTCATGTTATTTATTTCAAATTTTGCTCTTGATCGTTTGCTTTTCTCAGTCCCCCGAATTTCTGATCCTCCGTTTTTCTCATCCTATGCATAGTTTCGGTCTCCGAAGAGGGGGAGGAAGCTGAAAATGTATACAAAAAACCGGTTGATGCTGAAACAAAAGAACTGTTTCTTCCATTCCGTTCCTTTTGCAAGAAAAAGTTGGTGAGTTTCTGGTCCCTAGGCTAGGCAGCTTTATTTTATATTTGATGCAGTTTCCGGTCCCTAGGTAGCTTAATTTGATCTTTGCTGCAGATAAAGTGCGATGAAGTCGTAGTTGAGGCTGCTGATATACCGAAAGCCCTCATCAACTATGTTATCTCTAATTCAATTGAGATTTTGGTACTTGGTGCACCATCAAGACACAGTTTTTTCAGGTAATTTTTATTTACTTGCATTCCATTTGGGATTTGGTTAATGATTCAGACTGTCCATTTCAAAATCATTTAGTTATTTGATTATCGTGGCTAAGTATTTTCAATTCTACTAACTTTTTACAAAGATTTCGTTTGTGAATGTGTGCCCAAGAACCGGACAGTTCGAATCATTAAACTACAGTGCCCAAAGAATTTCCAACGAAACAATTACACATACATTGACATTACATTAATTTTGTTTCAAATGCATCAGATCCTTCAAAGTAACAGATGTTCCAAGTTGTGTGATAAAAGGGGTACCGGATTTTTGCACTCTGTATGTCATTGGCAAAGGCAAGATATCCTATATGCAAACAGCTACCATTCCACCACCCAAAAAAGCTCGTAACCAAATTCATAAACAATCCAGCAAAGTTTCCGAATCAAATGGTACGCAATCCATGCGTAAACAGCAACCAAGAGGTTAATTTCTTTCTGTAATTCTAGCACTGATCATGTTCTTCCCCAACTCGAATGATGCTGCGATTTCGTTCTTTACTCACTCAAGTTTCTCTGATTAATGCAGCATCAGGAAAGAGGACACATTCTGCGCCCGATAGCCTGATGGTAGATGACACTGAAATCAAGTAAGCTCTGATAAATGCTCTTCAAATGAAGATATTATGTGAATAGAATACAATATTTGATGAGAAGACTGACCTCACGAAAAAATGATGCAGGCCACCCTTCACAAGAGGACGAGCTTCAATGAACAACTCATATGACCTTTCGCAAGAGAGTACCGATATATCGTTTGTGAGCAGTGGAAGGCCAAGTATTGATCGCATGTTCCCTTCGTTAATGACCCCTCGAAAGTCGATCAGTGCAGAATTTGACAACCGAAGCTCTGCGTCATCTTACTCAAGACACCAGTGTATTGACATGAGCTCTTCCCCACAAGACTTCTCATCATCCTCAATGGAAAGTGGAAAATCATGGTTATCATCACACAACATGGTAAGACAACTTCCCACCATAAGTAAACTTGGAAGCACCGTGAATCTATTCGCCTTGGAGCATGCCAGAAACTTAATTTTTTTAAAGTCAGGAGCAGATTTAGATGTTTCCATTTGTTCAATAAGTACTGATCTCGAATCAACCGATAAATATCTCAATTGTACTAGTTGAGATAGTACAAATAGCAGTGCTCAACTTTATTAACTAGTTCAAATTGATTTAAGGCCATGACAAAAAAAGACGTGCATTTATTACAGTAACATACATATGCATGCAAAATTAGTTCAGAGTATTAATCCGTAGTTTGCCTTGAAAATAATAGGATGAAGTGGAAGCCGAGATGTGGAGGCTCAAGCTAGAGCTCAAGCAAACAATGGATGTGTATAACATGGCCTGCAAGGAGGCGGTCACGTTAAATCATGAGGTATGATGTGAAACCTTATTTGAGCATAAATTTTGTTCATGTTTTATTATCATCTCCAGAATATGAATTTTGGCGGAACATTATATAGCTAGCCCGAAAAACGATTCATTCCAATATGAACTCTAATGACAACCATGACAAGCACAGGAACTTGACAGATGGAAATTGGAGGAGGAACATAGATTACATGAGGCACACATAACAGAGGAAGCTGCATTGGCACTAATAAAGAAGGAGAGAGAGAAATGTAAGGCAGCCATGGAGGCGGCAGAAGCAGCTCAAAGGATTGCTGAATTGGAAGCACATAAAAGGAGGAACGCGGAAATGAAAGCCCTTAAAGAAGCAGAAGAGAGGAACCAGGCAACAGAAGCAAGGGCATATAATCTAAGGTACAGGAAATACACAATTGAGGAGATTGAAGCAGGAACAAATAAATTTTCACAAACTGACAAGATTGGAGAAGGAGGCTATGGGCCAGTATACAGGGGTGAACTGGATCACACACAAGTGGCAGTCAAAATTCTAAGTCCAGGTGCAGCGCAAGGACGTTCGCAGTTCCAACAAGAGGTTTGTGATCGTTTACATGATCCAACTTTTAACTGGTATCTTCAAATATACAGCACATTTTTCAGATTCTTAGCACATAAACAACAGAGGCAAGGGGAAATACTGATATTAAGCAATTCCCATCTCGAATTCAACGACCCAATAGGAAGCCTAATAGTTCAAATAGAAAATGCTAGGATTACTGATATTTCTTAATTTCACAAGCTAGGCACTTCTATCTTCTACCCCTAATTTTTTTTTATTTTTTTATTTTATCATGTATTAATATTTCCTAATTATGCAGGTTGAAGTATTGAGCTGCATACGACATCCGAACATGGTTCTCCTTCTTGGAGCCTGCCCAGAGTATGGTTGTCTGGTCTATGAGTACATGGCTAATGGGAGCTTAGAAGACCGTCTCTTCCAGCGAGGTAACACCCCAGTTATTCCTTGGCAGCTAAGGTTCCGAATCTCTGCAGAAATTGCCACTGGGCTTTTGTTCCTTCACCAGTCCAAGCCAGAGCCACTTGTACACCGTGACCTAAAACCCGGCAACATTTTGCTAGACCATAACTATGTTAGCAAGATTAGTGATGTAGGTCTGGCCAGGCTTGTTCCTCCATCAGTAGCTGACTCTGTCACTCAGTACCGAATGACATCAACAGCTGGAACATTCTGTTATATCGACCCAGAGTATCAGCAAACCGGCATGCTTGGAACAAAATCTGATATCTACTCGCTTGGGGTCATGCTTCTACAAATAATAACTGCCAAACCGCCGATGGGTTTGACTCATCATGTTGAGCAGGCTATTGAACTAGGGACCTTTGCTGAGTTGCTTGACCCTGCTGTTCCTGACTGGCCAATTGAGGAGGCCTTGAGCTTTGCCAAGTTATCTTTACAGTGTACTGAAATGAGGCGAAAAGACAGACCAGATCTTGCCAAGGTTGTGCTACCTGAGCTTAACAGATTGAGAGCACTCGCCAAAGATAGCATGCATTACAACATGCTTGGTGGTTGTGGTGGTGGAGTATACTCGCCAAGACAAGGCTCAGTTTCCAGAAAACAAGTGAGTTTTGTAACATAAATCTAGCATTGTACTTAAAGGAACTGCACAAATAATTCTTTCTTGGAAGATCAAAGATCAAAGCAGGCAAACCCTTCATGCTAGACTTCCATTAAATTATTTCATGCAACCCTGCAGCTCATATAACCTCTGAAGGCTTCACAATATAGTTGGTTTCTTTGGATGTCTTCGTCGAACTTTAATTTTATATTTTGTCTTCTCTTTAGGATGTGCTGAGTGACATGCATCTACCAAGATCTGGATATGATAGTTCAAGGAGCCATTCAAGCACATCATCTTAGCAGGAAGGAGACTATCCTCGGATTCAGAAACTTCTCGTCAGTAAAAGTCAAATAAGCTTTCCAATTTTCTTGATGCACATCTTACAAGAAGAGGACTAGTGAGAGAGAACCTTGATCCTAACGAACATGAAAAGTCAGCTGACTAAGCAGAGTTTATGATTCAGAACTATTAGTGGAGTTAGTAAAAATGGTTATGTGTTCTTAAAGTTGTTAGTATAAATGGTCACAAGAGGTGGGAAACGAGATAAACTTGTATGAAAGATAAATTTATTGACTGTACAAATGGACTTCCTTGAATAATAAGGGCATTTTACAGAGGCTCCATTTGGAGATTTCATTCATCTATCCTAAACTTGATAGAAAAATTTTGCTCAAAATTGGCAGAGGAAAAATGAAAATGTCTTTGAAGCCCCAAAGTCATAAATTTGTTATGTAATAATGACAACAAAACTGATTCTGACCCTCCCAAAATCACTTATGAAGAGAAGCACTTCCCACGTGGACCTGTTTGGGAGTGATTCTAGGTTCATCCACACCATTCTTCATCCACTAAGCGCGATCCACTCCTAAAGCCTTACAAGGGTCAGGCCTCCAATCTAGAAGAATCAGATTTTTCTTGAAGAAAGTGAGAAGGAAGAAAGGAAGACTTCTCTTGAAATTACTGTCAAAATTATTGACCAAAAACCACTGTTAAAAATCACTAGTAGTGCCGCCCACCGATATTAACCTTCCCGCTTGGTTCACAGATTGGCGCTTGGAAGTCAGTCGTGGAAACGTGAATCCAATTACATGCGTTTGGGCCCCTCTACGGTTTGCTTTTCCCTTATCTTGAAACCATGTTTTTGCGTAGTATTTTCTTGTAACTAAATTGCCCTTGTTGTATGTAACTTAGAGCATCTCCACCTTTGGAGATGTTAAATTCAACGTGACACTTTTAGCATGTAGAAAAAAGAGTTGAGACTCACTCCAACCAAAATGTTAAATTCTAAGTGGAATAACATTTCTCTCTTATACTGTTATTTTTGGTTGTTTGACTTTGTGATGTTATTTCATTATTTTATTATTTCTTTCAATTAATGTGCCTAGAAAGTAATAAACCAATAAAAATAAAATAATATTTTAATTTGACCTGACGAGTGGAATGTAAAACTCTATTATATGTCAAATTGCCATATAAACTATCAAATTCAAATTTGAATGTTCGATATTTAACACCTCACCTTGGGAGATGCTCTTAGACGTCTTTTAAGTTGCCTTGAAAACAGAGTTTGGGCCCCTCTACGATTTGCTTTTCCCTTCCCTTGCCTTGAAATACATTTTTTTTCTTTCTTCTTGGTTAATGATAATTAGTAATTTGATGATCACAAGGTTTTGATTATATGGTAGGATTCTTTTTATAATTTTTCATTGACGACTTTATTTTAGGAGGCCCTATTGTTGTTTTGGCACAAAGCCCTTAAAATCTCAGAGTGGCTCTTGGTCACTTGAGTGCAAGTGTGTATATAACGTAATTCAGATAAAATATTTTAAGCTAATGTGCACCTAATAACCCCTTTCGGCCAATAGAATGAACCTAATAACCATCCCAAGCCAGACAACCTAGAAGGGGAAGTTGATAACAAAGAAGGCCCACGAAGCGACTCAAAACAAAAAGACTAACAAGCCAGTACGAGAGCAAAGTCAGGCACAACATCACAAATGTGTAGCCTAAACAAGCAAATGAGCAACCAACAATGCATAAGATATGAGTTCCATCGGTTATTATCCTAAACACTCCACGAAGCTACGGAGCATTAAAACCGGTCATCTCACAATAAGAAAACAAGAGAAAGATTAACAAACTTTAATTAAATGAATTAAACTAATTAAAACTTGATAATGTCATATGGAGTTTCAAAAAAAAACTCACAAGCAGTAAAAAAAGTTTGATACATGTCTGGGCTTGGAGGAAAGGAAAAGTGGGATTTGGCTGCTGTGTGAAAGGAAATATATAATAATAATAGTTATAAACCTTTGGGAGTAGGTAGCGTAGTCTTGGACTTGGAGGAAAGGAATTGTTTTGGATATCTAGGTCTCCCATGAACTCATTGGCAGCCATCTCTTCTTCTTTTTGGTTTGAATTTGCTTCGGAATTCGAAAGTGAAGAACCATGGAGGTCAGTGTGGAGAGCAAGACTTGTAAATGTGGCAAGAGCTTGCTGTTTTGTAGTTGACAACTCTCTTTCTAGACGATTTTGAATTTCAGAGATCACCTGGTTGGGTTGCAACGTTGGTCTTCCTTCCAATGATCTAGAACGTCTAAACAAAGACCTCACTTGTTCAAGGAATGGTCTTTTAGACATAAACTACTTGAAACAGAAAATTTGAATTAATTAGAAACACTAAAAGAATATGGTAACCTTGGGCACATAACCAGGAAATTCCGCTTCGTGTTTTTCGCTCCGTGTTTTCTGGCTTTCCACCTTGAGCTACACACCCATGTTTTCTGGCTTTCCATCTCGACCCACTTTATTAAACAGATTATAACGAGTATCTTCCACTCCAAAATTGCCAGAGCAAACTATGTAGAGTTGGTGCAGGTCCTACAAGCAAGGCTAAGCATTGGCTAAGTATGAAAAAAGGTTTTTCGGAATAATCATTTTCTCAAGATAATTTTTGGCGACTTTTATTCCTTACACATCAAATAAGAAAACTTGATTTTATGAGATTTTAGTACGACGTATATATTGACTTAAAGAGCCATCATTTTTAGCCTAAATCGTATTTTGTACTAAAAACCGATTTTTCATATTTTGATTTGGTGAGAATTTGATTTTCTAATATTTTTATTTGAATCCAAATGGGGGTATTTCCTTATTTACATTGTAAACTTAAGTAAATTGAGTAATATAAAAATAAATGAAAGTAAAAAGACAAAGTAAGGAAATCTGTATCGTTCCATAACTTTTTATTTACATTCCCCCCTCTGTTTGAATGAGAGAATTTTGTTGAAATCCCATTCCCCCTCTGTTTTATCGGGCAGTAGAAGAGATTTTTTTTTATATAAAAAAACACCTGAGCCAAAATGACGTTGTTTTGGCAAGGTTTTTTTTTAAAAAAAAAAAAAAAAAACTTAAGTGGAACGATGTCGATTTGACATCAGTAAAAAAAAAGAAAAAAAAGGGGATGTGTGCGCATGCAGCAAGGTTCTCTCCTCTGGCTGTGGGTTGCTTTCTCTTTGGGGCATTTCATTAAACACCTTATGGGCAATTTGCATGGGTTAAGTTCTTGAACTCCTATGGTGGATTTTGGGTGTGCAGGGGTCAATTGACCCCCCTTGCGCCTATGTGGATCTGCCATTACTTATGTTGAAAAATAAGGGGGGTGTATTCAATCAATACTTTTACAGAAAATTAAAGACTTTCACAGAATTAAAAAGTCCGAGAGTATTCAATTAAGAATTTTAAAGTGTTTATCAAAGTATAGTGGTATTCAATTGTGACTTTTAAAAAGTCTTTAAAAGTTTGGTGGTATCCAAAAAATTAATAACTTTTAAAGAGTTTGTTAAGTAAATGACTTTTATATACATTTAAGCCTAATTGTTACTCAAAATAATTAGGGTTTAAACTGATATGTTTATTCTTCTCTCAAGGAGGAATATATATACTACATACAGAGTGGGTACAAATAGGAAATATGTACAAAATCTCCTAATTCTACTCAAATTAGATAATTACAATAAATTCCTAATAGGAAAAAATTCTATTCCTAATAGGAACGTTGACTCACGCCAAGACTCCCCCTCAAGTTGGTGCATAGATATCGGTAATGCCCAACTTGTCAAGTGAGTCTTCAACTTGGCGCTTTGACATGGCATGGGTCAACATATCTGCAAGCTGCTCTGAAGAAGGCACTAAAGGTATAGAAATTAACTTATGCCCCAGCTTCTACTTAATGAAATGCCGATCAACTTCAACATGCTTAGTTCGATCATGTTGCACCGGATTGTTAGCAATTTCAAATGCAGATTGATTATCACAGTAGAGCTTTGTAGCAGCATCCGGTCTAAACCCAATTTTAGCAAGTAACCACCTCAACCACAATATTTCACAAACCCCTTGGGCAATCCCTCTGTACTCAGACTCCTCAGACTCTGCAGAGGACCGAGACACAACGTTTTGCTTCTTGCTACGCCACGTAACTAGGTTACCACCAACAAAGGTGAAGTAACATGATGTAGAACGTCTATCTGTAATATTCCCTGCATAATCTGCGTCAGTGTAACCTTCTAAATCCAAGTGGCCATTTTTCTTAAAAAATAAACCTCTCCCAGGAGCAAACTTTAAGTAACTCAGAATACGCATCACAGTAGCCATATGGTCCTCACTAGGTGAATGCATAAATTGGCTAGCAACGCTTACCGCATATGCAATATCAGGGCGTGTCAATGATAAATAAATCAATCTTCCAACTAACCTTTGGTATCTTTCTTTGTTAGTTGGAACCTGATCCACATAAACACCAAGTTTATGATTCTCAACAATAGGTGCATCAGCTGGTTTACAGTCAAGCATTCTAGTATCTGCTAGCAGGTCCATGACATACTTCCTTTGTGAAAGAAATAAGCCATGTTTAGATTGAGTGACTTCCACTCCTAGAAAATATTTCAGACTGCCCAAATCTTTCATCTCAAATTCAGATGCTAAACGCTTATGCAGTTTCTCGATTTCTACAGTATCATCACCAGTCACAATCATATCATCAACATAAATAATCAACAAAGTCACCTTACCAACCCTATGTTTAATGAATAGAGTATGATCAGTATTGGCCTGTTGTTAACCAAACTTCTTCATAGCTGTAGTAAATCTGCCAAACCATGCCCGAGGAGTCTGCTTTAACCCTTACAACGCCTTTTTTAATTTGCACACGTTCCCGGTGCCATCGGTAACGCTATACCTTGGTGGAAGACTCATGTACACTTCTTCTTCTAGTTCACCATGTAAGAATGCATTTTTTTAC